AAAAACTTGAGGGAATTCCTGGAAACTTGGTATTCAGACAAGTCAGCTGTCAACAGGCACATAGAGATAAACAACATTTATACACCATTCAAAAGAGACAATAACAAGCTAAAAAAGGAGACAAACAAAACCAGAACATCTCAACACCCAGATAAGCAATCAACACCCAGATAAGCAGGGATTAACACCAGGTTTAACACCAGACAAACAATCAAGCAGTAAACAATATCCTAATCAGGGAATTACCAACTCAGACAAATAATCAAGCAGTAAACAACACATTCACCACACTGACAGGGCAAGCCACTATATACTGCATAAACAGCAAGCAAACTCCACTCCTTTCTAGCACTGAATATTTTACTTAGCTGGGTAACAAAATGCTTGCAAGAAAACAACCAAGCTCAGAGCACACAAGGACTCCACAGTTCAACCTTGAGCTACATATATTCTCTTCTATTGGACCTTAGTGCATTTTACACCCTGTGCAAGATAGCAATGCCTTTTTTTCAACTTTCTGTCTGGATGGAATTAAAAAGTGTTTTGACAAAAACTTTATCCCATTTTTTAAATTACAGACACCTTTAAATATGTCAGTGGATGCAATTATATGAATTCTATATTAAATGCATGAGAATTTTGCAAAAAAAGAATCCTTTTATAAATGAAACAACTCAAAGGGGGAAATAAGCAGTATATTTCAATAGTTTGAATTACTTCAATTTTTTTCCATACTTTAGTTTATGTTGGACTATTTCTGATAAATTATGTTTAATTATTTATTCTCCTCATATAACAGTGTGTTTAAAAAAATAATGAAATCAACTTACAGAGTTCTTCCCTGTCAAGGGATTGTGCACCACCTCCAAACAGACCTTTGAAGAACCCTCGGTTTGGTGCTTCTGGGGTTTCTACAGGTGTGAAGAGCTCACCCAACATTTCCTTTAAAGAAAAATCATTTAAAATCATATCAGAACATTCTACTTGGATTTTACTAAAGGCAAAAGGAATGCTAGTATCCTTTCACTATGTCTCACAATTTTAGGGTCTCATCTTCAAATGTTTCTACATTTATAGTAATGTAAATATTGTAGATGTCAAAACTGGTCCTGTTGCTGGCTTGTACAGGAAGAACAGGACCAAGTTCTGCAATAATCCAGCTCTGCTTGTGTAAGCCAAATATTTTCATAAGAGCCTGTTTTTTTTCTGATGGCTTGTTTATAAAGTTTCTGATCACTGGCAAAACTTGGTTCTGCTTTTCCTGGACAAACCAGCTGCTGAACAGGAGTAAATTCTGACAGCAAACCAGCCCAGGATTTTGGCAAGACGCTTCCTTTGCGTGATAATTTTTTAGAGCAATGACTCATGCACACAAAGCTAGATCGCTATAGGGAGCATCACTCGGAGGAACACAACTTCCATGCCCAAATCTTTGCATTGCTGCACAAAGTTGGAGGCTATGGAATACCAAAAGATTAAATAATATCTAAATTAAGTCTTCCAATACAAGTAGCAGTCCCTTCACTACACAAGCAAGAAGAAGAGCACCCACTGGCTGCAGAGAGCCATCACGAACAATTCTCTGTCCCCTGCGCATTTTATATCACTTGCTTCCACCAAAGGGATCTTGATGCATTTTATACCTGCAAGATAGCAAAGTCCTGCTTGCATCTTTTTGTTCCTAAGATCATGGACTATAGAAGGGGAAGGAGCAAGGAAAAGGCAGTCTTCTGAGGATTCTCTGCACATCAGACTTCCCTGCCATCTGTTTTTCCTGAGCCCACCACTTCCCCAAAACTCACCTTCCCATTCATCCTAGAAACACTACACTCCTATTAGGCTTTATACATATCTTCCTTTCCTCCTGCTGCCCCATTTCCAAATTTGCAGACCTGCACAGCATTGCACACACCAACTGGTCTGCAAAAAACCTTTGCTTTCCAGCACAATGCCAGTATCCCACATCTCCAAGGCGTGCATTTCTCCAAAAGTGCCAGGTTGCCTACATTATGTCTCTACTATGTGTTCCATGCATCATTTTGTGAAGTGGAAAAAGGTGAAGTAACCCTTCCTTTCCCACCCCACTGACCTGATCTGTTCTGTACTGGCCAACCAGCCATTCCTCACAAAGGAGCAGTGCGGCTTGTAACTCTATTATGCTAAACTGGTTGAGGAGGGAGTGTGTGCATGTGCCAATGTTTCTTGGCCATCAAGTTTCCATACACAAAGCTGGAGCTTTGTAAGAACTTGGTCACACTGGGCCAAATTCTCAGAGTCCATTTTTGCATGGTTAAACCTGCCACAATTTACAACTCATCAATTTGCTCACAGTCCATAGTTTGAAAATCCCTGATATTTTATCCTATGCTCAGCCCCAAATATTACAGCCTATAGGTAGTAGGATTTGGCTTATTTTCTTCTGCAAGAAATAATACCAGATATAATGTTAGACCTGGTTTCATTCATTGGTTGCATTAAATTAAAACTTTAAGATGCATGTAAAATATCTGTATCTTAAAGAGATGTATGCTGGGATGGTAGAGAAAACATATGCTGAAAATCTGTAATTTGTAGATAAATAGCGTATTCTTCAATAAACACTTTTTAATAACAATATGTTTAAAAATTACCTGCAGATTTTCACATGTTTCTTGGCTATAGGTAATTCTCTGGATTTCTGTAGGTGAGACAAGATATAATGCCTGCCCATTGTTGGTGAAGCAAAATGTTCTGGCTATCCTCATGTTGGTAAGTGGTAAGTAATATACATCCAATAGCGGCCTTAAACTTGGCAAACTTGAAAGGAGAGAATTAAAACTTGTTAAAATAAAGCACAGTATTGTATTCTAGCCTTCTTTAAAAATGTTTCACACTATCATACATTTTATGCTCTCATCTTCTTTTTTTAAACGTATTTATTTATATAGTGTTGACTCCATAAGGACTCCTTGTTAAAACTGTTAAAACCTATCCAGATTCATAATGTTTGGCCTGCAAGGTTCTGCCTAAACTGGTTTTAACACATTTAACATGGAGTCCTTGTGTGTATGCATAAAACAATTCAACTGTTTATCCATGTTGACTTTTTTGATGTTAGAAAAGTGCATCAAATACATGATAGTAGTAAAGAAAATGCTAGCATTTACTTTACTTGATGTTGTATCTCATAAATGGTAAGGTTTAAACAAACAACAAAAAATTAAAAATATATTGGCTAGGATGCAAAGAATTACATATTTATATTTACATATAAGTATGCATACATTCCCAAATGCCATCTTAATAATTGCATTGGAAATTCTCAATTATTTGGTATTGATAATACAGTCTGAATAATCAAAGGTTAAAGTGCCAGTATTTGTTTGGATTCTGATAACTATGTGATGCTTCTAATTCAAAACACCCTCCCTTTAATTCCTCCAAGGATGGAACCAAGTTCAAATCATATGAAAATTAACAGAAGCTACTAAGGACATGGAATAGAAAAGCACAAACAGCTTTTCTCATAAACGTCACACAAAGTTATGTTATTCTTGCTTGGAAATACAAAGCTCAGTTAGAATATTATTAGCAATATTGAAAAATATATTTCAACCCCAGCCCCTGCTCCTGAGAGCTCTCTCATTCCTCAGAATAAAATTCTTAGCACATCCAAGGGAAAGGACCAACACAGAGAACTTCCACTACACAATGTAATGAAAGTTGTCAGCAGAAATAATTAATTAGACACTATTCCAATTCTGGAAACTACAACAAATAAACCAAAAGTTTATGAAGGACTGACATTAGATATTTAGCAGCTTGCTAAATGTATAAACATATTAAATCACAAAATAATGTAATTTGGATATGTTTGCAGATATAGGCTGATATGAAAAGATTTAAGCAGAAGCCCACCAACATAACCCTAATTCTAACCATTTGCCATTCTTCCCTAGGTTCTTTTAAAATAAATATTACTGCTGAAGTCATAATATCAGAACATCTTCCCCATGAGGAAGAACAGCAAAGTTTGGCGCTTGCTGAGAGCAGATAAGCAACATTATAGAGACAGATAAAATAATTATTTGGTGCATGAAATGTGGACAGAAATATTTTAGCCTTTCAGATCTCAGAATAATTGACTGAAACTTAACTGCAAGATATTCAAAACTAATTAAATTTTTTTTAATGTAATGCATAGTTAAACAATAGCATTTGCTGTCTTCCAATATGTTCATGATCATCAATTTAAATGTTTTTAAAAAGGAATATAGACAAATTCATGGAGGACAGAAATACCATGATTATTGTGATTACAGAAGACCTCCTGAATTACTCCCTGAATCACAGATAACACCATTACTAGGGATCAATGGAAGAAAGGTATCATCCTTATGTTTTGCTCGTGAGTTTCCAGACACATCTGGTTAGCCATTTTGTGACACAGAATGCTCAATTACGTGATCCTTTTGCTCTGGTCCAGCAGGAGCCTTCTTGTATCCTTATAGTTGGGTGCAGTGTCTCAGCTAAGTTTTTGCTGAAGCTTTGTCTCGCTCTGTACCATATGGAAGCAGACAAGCAGTGACAAACACCAACTGCTGAAAAAAAATTTCTAGATTCTATACTATGCATAATGCAAACCACTATTTGGTAAGAAGCCATGTCAAGGCATAATTCCAAACTTAACTTTTAAATAGTTTTTAACTATTTTAAGCAGTTCAGACCACAGTCAAGCAAACCTCCCTTCAAAATAAAGATAGCGAAAGGAAGAACGCAAAAATTAATGTTATTTTAAAAACTCAAACTTCATCCAAGCAAACGAACTACCGTTTGGTTATCAAATAAACCAGAATGTGAGATGAAGGACTAAGGCACCTCTGTCCACAAGCACAAGAAAGGGAACCAAAATAGGATCTGATCCCATGTTGCTTTGCAGATGGCACAGGTGACGTCACAAAAAAGAAGTAATATTTTTGAGGCAACGTAAGAAAAAAAAATGGAACTAATGTAAAACCATCCATCTAGAGACTGATTTAAATATCTGTGTAACTGTATTAACTGTCCCTTTATATTTTTCTTTCGTAATTTATTTCCAAGGGAACAGATATGTTTGCTCCAGTTTCTCCTTTTAGCATTTAACACCTTACCTAAAGGTCATTATATGTCCATTAGCGCAGAAACAAGCAAGACAGATACTGTTACTGAGTGCCACTATATCTCCACGAAGAACAAATGAAGTCTCTGTTATATTTTGCTTATAAGTACAGTTCTGTGAGGGCAGCGAAATAACTTTTGCTTGCTTTTCAGAGCATATCACTGCATATTGGTTTTCACTCATTTCCTGAGAAGAAGATGGAGATACTGAGACAGGGCGACGTTTTTTCAGTTTATCCTTTTCATCCTTGTCTTCAGGAACATTGTGTTCTCTCCAGGGCTCATATGCTGGTGGAACTAATGATCCTGTTGTGTCCAGAAAAGCCATTCTTAAGACTGCTCCTTTAAGCCTCAGAATAGTTCCTAAGATAAAGAAAACAGTGATATTTCTCAGGGCTGTGCATCGCTCAAG